GCGGCAGGGGAGCCCGGAGCCAGATGGGCGCCGCCGGACCCGCCTCCTTGGGTCTTGGGGAAGGCACAGGTGGCCTCCCACTCTCCCTCTCTTTTTCTGCCACTTGGGCTTGAGCCGTTTCAACCCTCTTCAAGTGCCCACGCACACGAATACTCATAACACACACAGATGCACACTCACAGGGACATATATACTCAACACAGAACTCAAACACACTCATACATAGTCATACACACACAGATACACGCATGTACACTCACACACACAAACAGTACACCTACACACGCACACACGCACACACACACACGCACACACGCGCACACACACACACACACACACACACACACACACGGAGGGCATGAAGACTAGAAAACAAGGACAGAGTTGACAACAGCTAGACACCTAACGGTCGGCTGCAGAGCTGGAAGGGACATTAGAGCCAGCTAGTCTGTCCTCTCCTTTGACAGAGGAGGACACCGTGTCCTGCCCAGAGTATAATTCGCCTCAAGCTGGGAGGAGGAGGAGGTGGGTGGGAGAGTTCCCAGAAGAATGAGCACTTCTTGACTCCCCACCCACCCAGGGCTCCAGGGTTTCTCTGGCAGCAGTGGAGGGCAGAGAGATTAGACTGCTGTCAGTCAGGCCCTGATCAGGAGCAAAAGTCCTTGGATTTCGGAGGGCAGAGAGAAGATACGCAGTGTTAAACTTTGCTGGGAAGTTGGGGAGAGGCAGACGGGTTTGCGTTGGGTCAAATCCACCACCACAAAAATGGATGGCAGAGAGACTGGTTTCCCTGCAAAATGAGTTTTCAGAAAGGCATTTAATCACAGCATGCATTTAAGACGTGCTAGCTGCAATAACACCTCACATTTTTCCTGCCCTCACCATGTGCTCAGACTGAGCCCTTCCTGTGTCTTCCTCCTCGCCACCATCCCATGCGGTGGGTGTCACTTTAGAGAAACTCAGGGAGGCACCTAGCTAGCAAGTTGCAGAATCTGGCTCAAGACGTTTGCTGTGAACCACCATGAGGCAGCCTGTAACCATGAGGAGCGTACAGTCTAGTAGAGCAAAAAAGCCAAACACGCTACTGTTGGAAAAGAAAGAACAATATAAACAAGCGCCATATTGCGTATCATCAACAGTGAGTGCATCCTGCGCCACCGGATGAAGAGGCGAGAGTGGGCAGCGTGGTCAAGTGCTCAAGCGTCAGGTAGCTCAGGTCCTAATTTTGGCTGCTTCTGCCAGTTTCTAGACGGGTTACCTTAATTCTCTTAGCTTCCAGCTCTTCTCTAATAAAACGGGGGTGATGACAGTACCCACCTCCGGGCAGCCATGAGAAATAAATGACAACGTTTTTCCAGCAATTAGCAGCACATCACGCACATATTAAGAATGCAGAAAATGTTAGCCTTGACCACTGATGCTTGTACTACTAATGCTGCTGGGGTTGGAGCCACCACGGAAGGCTTTGTGGGGAGAGACTAAAGGACCAGTAAGTTGTTGGCAGGCAGAAACACAAAGCACATCATGTCCAGGCTAGGGAAACAGGGTGAGAGGAGAAAGGGAAATGAAATGCAGAAGGCTTTTTCTGGGGAGTCGCAGTCATTAACACTGGTGACATAACTTATTATGAAAGCATCTTTCAAAGATGTATTGCTCCAGTGACGTCTGATTCCTATTTCTCCTCAATTTAATTCAATGTAATAACTTTTTGCTATTGTAGGGTACCCATTTGTGCCCAGAACTCTGTAGATATATATAGAGCCAAAGTTCCCTCAAAATCACTTATGGGCCAGTGAATTGAGATTAGAACATGCTTCTCCCTAGAACAATGTTATATTGTTGTGTTTCTGGGTCAACCTCACACTACTTTTACAATGTAGCTGAAATGCTGTATAGTTGTAGTAGAAAACAACATTGTTGCAATGCTAGGAACTAAGCTAAATCAAACCAAATAAAGCATACCACATTGTGTTTTAGCAGAAAGGTTGGTAAAAGCAGATTTAATTAGGAGACGGTAAGATCTAGATACCGGACATTCTGAAAAGGATGACGTCTTAATTATCTAGTGCTGCTATAACAGAAATACCACAAGTGGATGGCTTTATCAAACTGAGGTTTATTCTTTCACAGTCTAGGAAGCTAGAAGTCTGAATTCAGGGCGCCAGCTTCAGAGGAAGGCTTTCTCTCTCTCTCTCAGCTTTGGAGGAAGGTCCTTGTCATCAATCTTCCCCTCTTCTAGGAGCTTCTCAGCACAGGGACCCCCAATCCAAAGAACACAATCTGC